TTTCCTTCATCAGGGGATCTTCCCAACCCAGGGATCAAACCTGTGTCTTCTTCATTGTCAGGTGGATTCTTTACCACTGAGCCACCAGAAATGCCCTTAGCTTCCAAGTAAAAGCTACAATTTGGCCAATGGAAGAATATATTTTCATCATTTAGCGTGTTAAAACAGGATCTGAGCTTCAAAATCAACTCACTGTCTTCTTGTAGGCAGTTCCTAAAAAGATTAGCAAAGAATTGCCCAAGTCTTAGAGTCCACTGAATTAATCACAAAGGTCACTCTGCAAAGGATTCGCAAAAGAAATATACATTTCTCAGTTTTCAAAGATAATTAATATCCAAAGGACATTACTATTGTTCTGTTATTTTACCCAGAATAAAATATATAAAAAATATCTGATTCATATATTTCATAGCATTCATTCACATTTTTTGTTTTTCGTTATGTATTTACATATTACTATTTTCTTTGAAAATACAAAATAAATTCATGCTATATTTCATCTTCTAGCTTTTTTAAAAATTATAAAATTTATTATTTTTCATATCATATGAACATAGCTATTTTCATTGGCAATAAGAACATAATGTAGCCCTTATCACACTCAGTCTAGCAAATTTGCTTAATCATTTACGAGATGCTTAAACTTACATTTCTTTGTCATTATTTGACTTCAAAATTACTCACTGAGGAAAAAAAAAAGTCTTTGACAACTACTTTCATTTTCAGAATAAAAAATCAAGATGGAATAAAGTTTGCTAAAAGAGAAAGGAGAATTTAACAGTAGGATTGATTATATTTTGAGTTAAATATTCCTATAAAAGCTGAAAGCCATTTGAGTTAATAATTCTTCTTAGGTAATTGTTACAAGTTGTGGCCTGCAGAATTTATTATTCTATTAATTTGACAAGTTTTTGGTTTGGAAAAACAGTAAATAAATCCGGTTGGTAAAATGTATTATCAAAAACATCATTAAGACACTAACTGAAAAAGATATTTGAGTGGAGTTTTCCAGTGGCCTAGTGGTTAAGATTCTGGGCTTTCATTGCCAGGTATCAGGCTCAATTCCTTGTCAGGGAACTGAGATGCCATAAGCCCTGTGGTCTTACAAAGCAAAGAAAAAAAGAAAGAAAGAAAAAAGAAAATATATCTGCAACCCCATATACATTATTTGGGGCTCCCCTGGGAGCTCAGCTGGTGAAGAATCCTCCTGCAATGCAGGACAACCCAGTTCAATTCCTTGACCGGGAAGATCCTCTGGAGAAGGGATAGGCTACCCACTCCAGTATTCTTGGGCTTCCCTGGTGGTTCAGACAGTGAAGAATCCGACTGCAATGCTGGACTGCAGATGTGGATTTGATCCTTGGGTTGGGAAGATCCCCTGGAAGAGGGCACGGCAACCCACTCCAGTATTCTTTCCTGGAGAATTCCCATGGACAGAGGAGCCTGACAGTCCTACAGTCTGTGGGGTCACAAAGACTTGGACACAACTGAGTGACTAAGTGTGGCACAGCACATATATTATTTATGGCTTCCCAGCTGGCGATATGATAAAGAACCCACCTGCCAATGCAGGAGGCATAAGAGACTTGGGTTCAGTCCCTGGGTTGGGAAGTTCCCTGGAGGAGGGCATGGCAATTCACCCCAGTGTTCTTGCCTGGAGAATGCCATGGACGGAGGAGCCTGGTGAGCTATGGTCCATAGTGTCGCAAACAGTCAGACATGACTGTACCCAGACTGTACCCAGACATGATCAGTACCCAGACTGATCATGGGTACATTATTAAGAATAGCCCAGGTACAAAATTAACTTAAGAGACAACTGATGGAAAAATCAACAAGGAAAATGTGTTATGTTTAAAATGAAGTATTATTCAGCCATAAAAAGAAAGACATTTTTCTACTGGCAACAACATAGACGGACTTTTAAAGTATTATGCTAATTGAAAAAAGATAAAAAAAAGACAAATATTGTATGATCTCACATTTATGTAGGATTAAAAAACCAAAAATTTGAACTCACAGATATAACATATTGGTGGTTTCCAGAGACAGGTGCAGAGGCTTGGGCAAAATGGGTGAAAGTGCTCAAAAGTTACAAACTTCAAGTTATAAAATATATATCATGGGCATCTAAGGTACATCATAGGGGATATGGTTAGTAACACCATATTGTACATTTGGGAATTATTAAGAGAGGAAAACTTCATAGTAAACTTCATAGTTTTTATCACAGGGAAAAATTGCAACAGTGTGGTGTGTATTTAACTAGACTTATTAAGGTGATCAGATGGATCAGATTGGCTAGTTTTCTGTGATTATGGCTTCAGTGTGTCTGCCCTCTGATGCCCTCTCACAACACCTACCGTCTTACTTAGGTTTCTCTTACCTTGGACATGGGTTATCTTTTCACGGCTGCTCCAGCAAAGCGCAGCCACCGTTCCGTAACTTGGAAGAGGTCGCCCCTCCGACCTTGAATGTTGAGTAGCTCCTCTCGGCCCTCCTGCGCCTGCGCAGCCGCCACTCCTTGGACCTGGGGTTGCTCCTCTCTGTCGCAGCCCCTGACTTTGGGCATGGGCTAGCTCCTTTCGGCCTAAAATTAGAGATACCAAGGGAACATTTCTTGCAAAGATGGGCTCGATAAAGGACAGAAATGGTAGGGACTTAACAGAAGCAGAAGATATTAAGAAGAGGTGGCAAGAATACACAGAAGAACTGTACAGAAAAGATCTTCACGACCCAGATAATCATGATGGTGTGATCACTCACCTAGAGCCAGACATCCTGGAATGTGAAGTCAAGTGGGCCTTAGGAAACATCACTACAAACAAAGCTAGTGGAGGTGATGGAATTCCAGTTGAGCTATTTCAAATCCTGAGAGATGATGCTGTGAAAGTGCAGCACTCAATATGCCAACAAATTTGGAAAACTCAGCAGTGGTCACAGGACTGGAAAATGTCAGTTTTCATTCCAATCCCTAAGAAAGGCAATGCCAAAGAATGCTCAAACTACCGCACAATTGCACTCATCTCACACACTAGCAAAGTAATGCTCAAAATTCTCCAAGCCAGGCTTCAGCACGAAGAATTGATGCTTTTGAACTGTGGGGTTGGAGAAGACTCTTGAGAGTCCCTTGGACTGCAAGGAGATCCAACCAGTCCATTCTAAAGGAGATCAGTCCTGGGTGTTCATTGGAAGGACTGATGCTGAGGCTGAAACTTCAATACTTTGGTCACCTCATGAGAAGAGTTGATTCATTGGAACAGACCCTGATGCTGGGAGGGATTGGGAGCAGGAGGAGAAGGGGATGAGATGGCTGGATGGCTGGATGTCTGCATGGCATCACTGACTCGATGGGCATGAGTTTGAGTAAACTCCAGGAGTTGGTGGTGGACAGGGAGGCCTGGCGTGCTGCGATTTATGGGGTCACAAAGAGTTGGACACGACTGAGTGACTGAACTGAACTGAAGGTTATCAATTTGCAATGTATACAAATATTGAATCATTACACTGTATACCTGAAACCAATACAATAATACTTGTCAATTATATCTCAATGAAAATGTCATTTATAAACCTCAAGACAAGTCAAAACAAAGCACCAGTAACAAAACAAAACAAAATACTCCGTAACACGATTAAGTAATGGAAAGTGAACATGTTGTTAGAGACTCAAGTCCAAGATACTTTCACATTCAGAGGAACTTGAACATAGGTTGGATTTACCATCTTCACGGAGTGAACCAAGAAAAGCAGAAGACTGGCCAACTGCATCAAATACCTGTTCCTGTCTCAGTCATTTCATCAGTACATTCATTTTTGGCAATATTCAAGGTATCAGGATTTTAAGAAGCTCCGTTAGAAATGTTGTATAATTTTTAAAAGCATATAAATTTTTTATTATATCTAAAGCCTTAATAAGTAAGCAGTTTATTATTTTAAAAAAATGCTGATTGCCTGAGAGAAAATAAAGGGCTCAGACAGTCAGAACTGTTAGAGAAATTTTAAAGGCAAAAATAATATGATCAAACTAGAAATGAATAGAGGGATAAAATGTTGATTGGGAAAGAATATAAAAGCAAAAATCTAGGTGGTGCAAGCATGTATTGGGAATAAATGTGGAATGAGATTTAAAGAAAGGCTGAATAAGAGAGTAACATATGGATAATGAAGAAGTTCACATAAGAGAAGAAAAACGGTAACTGTAAAGCATGCAGACAAAATCGCTTGCATTTTGAGCTATCTGGGTATTGTCCAATTTGTAAACATGGACAGCAACATAAAGAGAATATTTTTTCATGGTTTTCAAACATATTATGAAAGTGAATTCATTCCTTTTCACAGTCTGTCAGTTCCTGAAATAAATTTTATTATGTTGATAAACCAAAAAAAAATGTTTTTTAAGTTGTTACATAAAATCAAATAGTATTATTTTGTGTGTCTATATCTCATATATATGCATACTATATAATTTCTCTATGTACATAATGTATAAATGGAAATAAATTTGAGATTTATATAAAGAATTTTATAGATTAAAAAAATTTAATCTTGATCAATGTATCTAAATCTAGGTGGAATTAATACACAACAATCCAAAGAATGCTATGAAAATGAGAAATGAGATAATATTCAATAGGAAAATACTGCCCAGTATGAATGATGCAACATGCTTAGTAATGAATTCTATTCAGGGAATTTTTATTTTGCGACTTCGAAGATATTTTCTTCTCTCATTAAAAAAGAATGTAATAAGTTCAAGATCATTTTGACCAGGCAGTTATGCAATCTCAAACAATTTAATGAGTGTGTGCCTCTCCGCGTGTCAGCAAACAGATTAGCAATTGGCCTCAAGGAAATGCATAATTTGGAATGATGCAAAGAAATGGCCTCATATATCACCACGTGTTGTGTCCGGGGTATATAAGCATCCCTCTACACGAGCTGACATCCACACTCAGGTTCTCGCTTTGAACAGCAAACCGGACTCACGCCCTGACACCATGTGCCACTGCAGCAACTACTGCGGAGGCCTCGGCGGGCTGGGCTTCGGCCGTGGCTGTGGATGCGGCAGCTTCCGCAGGCTGCGCTTTGGCTCTGGCTTTGGAGGCTACGGATGTGGCTCTGGTTTCGGAAGCTTTGGCTCTGGCTGCTATCACCGCCCACTGTTCTTTAGAAGATGTGGTTTCTCCAGCTTCTACTAAACTCTGGCTATAGTAACCGAACATCTGCTACCATGAGTGGATTCGACATAACGTTATTCAGTCGATGAATCAAGATAACCTTAGCCCTATATAGCATGAAAAACTCAAGAATTTCAGAGAATTTATTTATTAGCTTGTCTGTCACATGTCTCCCGGCATTTGTTTGCTTGGACACTATCAGATGATTTATGTTGGTGACCAATAAATGTTCTAATTGGAAATAAAAAATATGGCTCTTTGCAGTTCATTTAACTCAGTTATATGTACATGCCTATATGTTATTTTGCTCTTTGACAGTTATAAACACAAGGATTAAATCTTTTAATTTTTTTATAAAAACAAATCATGTTAGATGTACCCATTTATAGTTGCTAGTCATCCATACTTAATTAAAACTGTAGCGAGAGCAAACTTGCATTTCACAAATCTTAAAATCCATATTTCTAAATTTTCAGGGAAAGTAAGTTCTATTTCTCTGTGAATCTTTTAATTATATTTTATAATGTCTTCTTTTGTTCATAATCTGCTTTCATCTACTTTGTTATACATGCAAAATAACACTGACTTAAATGACCTAAAAGTCTTTAACCATCTGTATAATAAAAGTGTGAAATTTGGTCATTCAGCTCACTCATCTCACTTACCCTTCTATGGGAACACAGTCTTTCATTTGCATGGTCATTGCTACACTGAAATATTGCAATTCATTAAGAACAATAAATGCATAGAAATATTACCAAGGAGCAAAACATTGTTTATCTTTTACTGAGCAAGATTATCACTAAATGATTTTTTAAAAATTATATAAGGATGAATTTCAGTAAAACATTCTCCCTTCAAAAATAATATTTTATTTAAATAAAAGAATTGAGGAACAGTAGAATACTAGAGTTTCTAAACTGTTTTCATAAAACTGCATGATATCTTCAGAAAATGATATAAACCAAATAATATTTGGCATAAATTGGGCAAATATAATTTTAAAAAGAGCTTCCTTCATAGTTCAGTGGTAGAGAAACCACCTGCCAATGCAGGAGCCCTGGGTTCAATCCCTGGGACAGGAAGATCCCCTGAATAAGGAAATGGCAACCCACTCCAGTGTTCTTACCTGGGAAATCCCATGGATAGAGGAGTTAGCTGATTACAGTCCATGAGGTCACAAGAGTCAGACAGAACTTAGTGATTAAACAACAGTAATTTTATAAAACAACACAAAGTGAAATCATAGAGACCTGAATACAAAGTTACAACTCTACAATGCTGCCCCATAATCTTGTCGGCAAGGTTGTCATGCTTGTTCAGCTGCCAAGTCTTGTCCGACTTTTTGGGACACCATGGGCTGCAGCACATCAGGCTTCCCTGCCCTTCACCCTTTACCGGAGCTTGCTCAAACTCATGTCCATTGAGTCAGTGATGCCATTCAACCATCTTGTCCTTCGTTGAACATTTCTCCTCCTGCCTTCAATCTTTCCCACTATCAGGATCTTTTCCAGTGCGTCAGGTCTTCACTTCAATGGCCAAAGTATTGGAGCTTCAGCTTCAGCATCAGTTCTTCCAATGAATATTCAGGGTTGATTTCCTTCAGGATTAACGGTTTGATCCCCTTGCAGTCCAAGGGACTCTCAAGAGTCTTCTCCAACACCACAGTTCTAAAACATCAATTCCTCTGTGCTCAGCCTTTCCTTATAGTCCAATTTCCACATCTGTACATGACTATTGGAAAAACCATGAGTTTTATTATACAGACCTTTATCAGCAAAGTGATATCTCTGTTTTTTTATTATGCTATTTTTCATAGTTAGGTTTGTCATAGATTTTCTTTCAAGGAGCAAGTGCCTTTTTATTTCATGGTTGCAGTCACCATCACAGTGATTTTGGAGATCAAGAAAATACAATCTGTCATTGTTTCCACTTTTTCCCCATTTGTTTCCTGTGAAGTGATGGGACTAGATGCCATGATCTTAGTGTTTTGAACATAGAGTTTTAAGTCAGCTTTTTCACTCTCTTCTTTTACCCTCATCAAGAGGCTTTTTAGTTCCTCTTCACTTGCCATTTGTGTGCTATTATCTGTATATTTTTGGTTATTGACATTTCTCTAGCAATCTTGATTCCAGCTTGTGAGTCATCCAGTTTGACATTTCACATGATATACTCTGCATATAAGTTAAATAAGCAGGGTGACAATATACAGCTTGATGTACTCTGTTTCCAATTTTTAACCAGTCCGTTTTTCCAGGTCCAGTTCTAACTATTGTTTCTCGACCTGCATACAAGTTTCTCAGGAGGCAGGTAAGGTGGTCTTGTATTCCCATCTCCTTAAGAATTTTCCACAGGTTGTTGTGATCCACACAGTCAAAGGCTTTAGCATCGTCAGTCAGGTAGATGTTTTTCAGGAATTCCTTGCTTTTTCTATGATCCAGAGGATGTTGGCAATTTGATCTCTGGTTCCTCTGCCTTTCCTAAATCCAGCTTGTATATCTGGAAGTTTTTGGTTCATATACTGTTGAAGCCTATGTTGAAGGATTTACAGCATGATTTTGCAAACAAGGTATCTTGGAACAAATGATTTTCCCTTGAAAATCAGTGACAAAATTAGGGACAGAACTCTGCTGCCCTGATTCCCATGATGACTATACAATGTTCACTTTCCAAATATTTTCTCCCTGAAAGTTCTAAGATAGAGCATTTAAAAAGTTTTGGTGATAGTTATTAGAGCTGAATTATGGCAACTCATTTTATGGATTGATCACATAAATCAATATCTGTGTTTCTTTAACATTTGCACTGTTCTCAAACAGAATTGTACTTACCAATTTTTAGTTTATCTGCTTTTGAATGTAACTAAACAATAAGCAATGTTAAAATTCAAGTCTAAATAAAAACAAACCGAAACATTGCAAATCAAAAATTTACCATCTTTTCTTTCAGTCAGCACTATCTAGGGGTTTGTATGTAGCACCATAGTGGGCTCCACAGGAGAAATAAAGGCAAGTTACTCTGTTGAAGAATAAGACAATATATTAATAATTTAATGCAGAAGAGAAGACTTTCTATTCCCTTTTCATTTGGATAATATCTCTGGGGACAATATACATGAGGATGATAAGCAGTAATCAATACAATTATTATTATTGCTGACATTCTTAGTGTAATAATATTATCATAATTCTGGGCTAAGATTTCATTGATCTATCTCTGAGATGAAAGTAAATGTTTTGAATTTATAACAAAAGACTTCTTCTAGGAAAAATGTGAGAACATTTTTCACTCTTTCACCCATAAACATGAATAGAAACTTAGGTCATGGTTTAAAAATTAAAACAAATATAATCTGAATCTGCTTTTGATCGACTGATTAGACAGGAAAATAATAACTCACCAGAGAAATTTCCAACATGACTTTTTTTCTTGTGCTTGTGGGGGAAAAAAAAAATTGTTCCATAATTTTCTAACTATTTTTGCTTTCTTTTTTTCTTTTAAATCGCTAATGAGCATTTATAAAATATGCATACCATTGTTATTTGTTTCCTTTTTTGAAAATACAATTAGCATTTATTGTTATTGAAAAATTTTAGTTATATCCCATATTGTTTCCATGTATAAAGTAGAGACAGCCTAACACTTAAAAAAAAAAACTCTTAATCCTGGTCATATGCTCTGACTAAATCACACAAGAAGAGTGTGATATCTTTAATGTTATGTAATTTATTCATATTTCTAAATGATTCATTAAAAATAAAAATTTAATAATTTTCAATCAACTGATTATCTGAATACAGAATAAAAATGGGATAAAGTTAGGTTAGAGTAGCCGATTAAATATTAAGTAAAGATTAAGTAAGAGATTAAAGTATGACATTGAAGTAATGCCATTTTGTAGCCAGAAAGCCTGTTGGAACTCACATCAACCTTCAAATATTTCCTAGGACAGCCAAGAAATTATTCAGGCTATGATATACATGTTCCTCAATTTAACATCACAGTCATATAAATTCTTTAGACAATACTGTTGCTATGTTTTATTTAGATAGTAAGATAATGTCAGAGAACAAACCTGACAAAAATACATTATCCAAATGTTGCTTATAAATCTCAGCAAAAGATTAGCAATATGGTTATAGTCCCGTAAAACATGTTTCTTGAGCTTCAAGAAACTTTCTCAAGTTTCAAGGTATGGACACATTTACTTAGGGCTTTTTCAGGTATGGGACCAGCTTTGGTAGCAACCTCACTGGGCTAACCTGAGGAACTCTGTGAATACCTGGTAAAAAGTTTCTAAGAAGTATATCCTTATTCTTTGTCCATTTTTCCAACTGTGCCATGTATTTAGATAATTTATGTATTCTGGGTTGTACAAGTCCTTATAAAATTTCAGAGGATTTTTCAAGTTGAAAAATATTTTGAACAAGCAACATTATCAGCATCTTTGAAAGGTCTTAGGAAAGTCTAGTTAGAAATTTCCTGAAAACAAAATGTTGGCATGTATGTGTGTTGCTCAGTCATGGCCTACTCTTTGTGACCCCATGGACTGTAGCCTGCCAGAATCCTCTGTTCATGGAACTTTCCAGAACGTAAGTAGAGGAGAAATCTCTTGATTAAATATAAGGTCTTAATTTTGAAGAAAGTATGATACTGTTAGTTTATCCCTGGTATGCTAGCAAATAAAGATTGAATAATTTAGGATCCAGGATAATTGTTAAGAATAATTTCTTGAAACATGGTTACCAAAGTGTAAAATTTCTTATCTCCACTGAAAAGTGTTTTAGAAACATAAAATCATAATCACATCTCTTAACAATTCAAATTGGTAGCAGAGAATCTATTGATTAAAGTCAATACAAAAACTCTTTAATCAATGAAAAAGTCTCCATTAATATGAAAGGACTTTTTAGTAAATATTTTATCTTTTGTGTGTATAGAATAAAAATTCATTATATCTGGTCAATTTTCCAAGTCTGAATAATTTTTTTAAATCTATTTAGCAAATATAATTGCTGGTC